ATGCTGACTTTGCTAAGAAACTAACAAGGCGTTTGCATCTAGACCCTTTGCTATGGCTACTAGAAAAGGGTATTTTTAGCACGACCCTAGCAAAAAATCTAGAGCAAGTAGCGGCCATTTTAAGGGCACAAAGTCCAGGGTCAACCTGCCGAAGGGGACTAAATGTTGCTGTTGAATCGGATGACGAGGCTCAAGAGGCAAATGAAGTTGTTGAATGGGATGATGAGGCTCAAGATGAGGCAGATGAAGCAGTTGAATCGAATTTAGTATAGAGCTGACACAGGACGCCCATTCCTGGAGAGGCGATAAATGGTTTATGTTTAAACAAACACGCTTTTTACAATGTTTCAGTTATCAGAAGTTTATATAGTTCACAATTTAGAATTCACCTGTCATGTTTAAAGATGAATATTAGCTAAGTCATGAGCACGTTATAAAAGGAAAAATATAAAAGCGTTAAAACAAAGCTTTCTCGATATAAATTGAAATGCATACATTCGCCAGTGTGACAGACTTCCGTTTTTTTAAATAAAGTTGTGTTAGAACAAATCGAGATTGCAAATGCTATCATCTCCCAGCAGAATGGGCACATTTATGTTGTATGCTTTCAAACTGGCATTGTTCAAGCAGATTTGAGTAGTCCCCCCTCTGAATCCTTCCAAAATTTTCAGTGATCCCCCCTTTTGGGCTCTCAGTTACGACTGATCCCCCCCTCTGTTCTCCTAAAAATCAAGTGATCCCCCCCAAAATCCTCCGACCCTCCCCAGGTAATAAATAATGACCGGTCCCTAATAGGCCCTCACAACAATCAACACTCAGCGTCTCCATTGAGTAATTACTTGGTGACAAATGATACCCACAGACTTTGTTCATTTCCGAAATGAAGAAGACATATTCTAGCTAGATATCTAACATGGTTGGCACTTTAACACTTCCTGTACTCCCGAAAGTACCTGTGAATTGTTTCACATAGTAATTACAGCAATAAAAAAATGTACAGTGCCAGAACATGTCATCATCAAGATGGGTTAATGTCTAAGAGCTGATGTTTGTAATTGAGGTCTAGATTTTTATTTAACTGGACATTTGGAGTCTATTAGCAAATTTAAAACAGAATTCCAGGACTATTTTCATGTCTGGGCATATGATTTTTTGATCTTTCGCTATAACGAAACCTCGTGGTGGGGCGGCATCTAGCGAACTGATGGATGTTAAAAACAACATTTTTTGCTTCAAAAGCAACAAGGTACCTCTAACTAAACGCGGAAAACTCATGAAAATGACTACTGGGTATTTTCATCTAAGATGGCGGACCACTTATCACTAATTCCCACGTCCCTCTCCACTTTCCAAGATGGCAGTGAGTCAAATTTCCCATCCTAGAGACGTTCAGGATGTCAAATTCCCTACCCGCGTGCGCTTCACTAAGCCAAATTTCCGTGAGTTGCCTACCTCCTACCCCATCCTGTGCAAACCACTGATAGGTGCATAATTCGATTACAATATTCCTGCTGATTTAAACGTCAAACTTTATAAGCCGCTTGGTCTGGGCAAGTGGCAAAAAAGTTGAAATATGTAAGAAGTTGTATCCCAGTGAGCGTAAGACTCAAACTCCACTAAACAAACTATTTAATGCGCAAATCCGTAGCACACAATCAACGGCGAATTGCAATGACAAAATAAGGGAAGAGGACAGATTCAAAGCTCCATGGCCGCGAAAAAACTGACCTTAAACTCTCACCACGGCGAAAACACACTTACGCGCGAGCATGTTCCGGGCCACGATTAGAATACTAACCTGAAATTAATCACCAGCGTGGACAAAATATAGTTGAGGAGAAGGGTTGAGCTCAGAATCTGGAAAGTTTAAAGAAAATATCTTATAGTATTTTAAAAAATTACATTATTTGTGGCTGAATGTAAAAAAAGGACTTGTCGATTGGTCAGTGAACAACTTCATGAAATTTAAGAATTTGTTCATGCTTAGCGTGCGTCAGTATCGAGTTATGGATGCATGCGGGAAGTTTGGAGAGCACGAAAGATGCGTAAGAGTAGCTTGAGGCGCAGCCGAGAGAAACTCTAGCTTCTTGAGTGCTCTCCAAACTTCCCAAGTGCATCCATAACTCGATATACGCACAGCTAAAAGCATGAACAAATTATTTTATAATATAGCTGACAAAAATGCTTGCTTTTTGATTTACTGCAAAATTCTCGTAACGCCCGACACATAACAGACGCCGATTACAAACACGCCACAATCGTCAAGTTTGAATGAAAATTCTCTCTGTAAACTGAGAAAGAAAATTTGCTTCTTTATTCGTTAACGATCAATGGAAACTAAGCGAAAACAAAGGTAAAAAGAGTCTTAAACTTCACCTAAAGTTAAAATACTCATATGTTCGTAAGAAGTCGTGGAGTATGGCTTGGATTTGCTGAAAAGATGTTTACGTCTTGCTCGGCGAAATCCAGAAAGCATGTTTTTTAGCGAAGACCACTGTCATCCTTCTTCAAACTTACAGTCATTTACGAACATTGGCTGGTCATTACGGCTTCTTGAGGAGACCTGGCAGCAGTTGTTTTCGTGAGTCATAAATTTATGTCTTCTTGTGTAATTTGTCTTGTTATTGCAACAAAAATTTTCCTGCTTCAGTCGGATTGTTCGGCGATAACAAAAGTGCATAATTTTTCGCTACTGAGCATACTTTATAATTAACTTGTTTTTTAAAGAATAAACAAACGTTAGAAACGGAGGACACTTTACACAAACCGGATATTTTCCGACACAGACCAATTTCTGGTCTTTTCCCACTTAAATGTCGGTCTTTACGGTAGACCTTTCAACGAATCATTTAGGGTCTATTATTTGCGAAACATCTTCACCGATTTTGATGTTGGTTTGAGTGGCTAGAGCGAAGCTAAATTTCCAAGAAAAAATCTAGAAAGTTTTTCATCATTGCCGTCGATTTTAGGGCACATAGGAAAAGAGACGAAAAACAAAGCTGAACACGTCATCATGAAAAAAAATCTTTATTTACACACTAGCGTGCGTAAATAAAGAAATTGTTCATAGCGGCTCAATAGGACTTATATAGGGCAATAACGCGCACTCATGATGTTATAAATAAGAATTCAGCGGTGCTATCAATTAATCAATGAAGATTTCTACTTTTAACATTTTTTCGTCAGTTTACGGTTTTATATCTACATGGACAAGAGAAAGACCTTCTCTTGACAACTCTGTGTCTGAAGACGAATGACACTTTGCACGTTTACAAGAACTATCCTATAGACAGGCGTTACCCGAAACTTCCTACTCCAAAAAAAGTATCGCTCCAAAACGGTGGCTTTGTAAATCCCAGGATTCTGAGATAATTGAATGTTTCAAAAGACTTCTTGGAAGCAAGCTTCAACACAAGTTCTAGCGATTCATCAGATGGTTGAAGAATTACATCTGTCATCCTTTGTGACGAAAATTCTGATACACTAGGTACAGTTGAAGTTCTGCGTATAGACTGTCGCCAAAAGTCGAGGTTACGAACTTGAAAGCTGAGTTGTATGTACTTGGTGGCAACTACTTGCCAGTCACAGTTCAAAGTTGTATCGTAACTGTTCAGGACTGAGTTCATTTTTTTTAAATAACGTGGAAGTCTCCCATCCAAAGCCATGGACGATTTTACCTCATCCGAGTTTTCCATAACCAAATCCAAATTTTGTTTGTAATTGCGATACAAATCATGAACTACAGGTTCTAGGGCAGGTCTATGGAATTGATAACACATGTCTATTGTTCCCAGTGGAGACGGAGGTGGTCCGGTTCCATATCTCATCTCTGAATGAGGTCTCGTTGCTGCATGCAAAAGTTTTTTCAGTCTTTCTATCCACTTGTCCAGAAAACGGATGAAAGAATTTCGGACATGAAGAAAGTTATATTTCAAGGTCACCTGTTTGTCAAAAATGAACATCACATATGAAAAATGACACAGTCCCGTCTTTATGTCAGACGGACATGCTTCGATAAATCTTGAACATTGGTCAACTTCGGTTTTGTAATTATTATGCACTCTATCTACTTCATCGGATTTTTTGAAAAGATCCATATTCCTCGAGTGATATTCCTGGCACTCGTTTTGCCTACAGTTTTGTTGAAGAGCTAGTATTTCCTCTCTTGTAAGCTCGAGAAATAGATGACTGGGGTTTATACCGAAAAAGATGTTAAAAATAAGGAAATATTCAGCCTCAATTGTAGGAAATTGAAGAGTCCCTCCGTAACTTTTGATGACGCTACCAACTTTACACCATGAATTTTGTATCTGACATGAGTCACCACCGATGATTGTCGCCAAATATAAAGGAGTTATGCCGTCTTTGTTGGGGCAATTTACATCAATTCCGTTAACCTTGTTGCTGGAAAGCAAGTGTGCGACAAATTGCCACATTCCTCGAGAAGCTGCGATGTGATACAGGGTAAGGTCAGAGCGCGTTGCATCGCATCCCACTTCAAGGATTCCATTTTCAAGAATGTGATTTAATAATGTCAATGCTGAGAGCGAAGCAAGTTCCACCTCTAAAGCTGTCAAGATACAAGGTCTTTCAAAATTAAGATAGGGTCTATATTTCACAGCATGTAATACTGAAAGCCAAAAAGGGGAAAAGCCATTGGCTGTTTCTAAGAAGGGGTTTGGACCCAGTGAGAGAAATTTGCACCTTGAGCGGCTCTGTGGAGAGCATTATAGCCCTCTTCATCGAAGCATTCGTCAATGATTTTTGTTCCATTTGGATGTGACAAAATGGCTTTAGTTAACAGCCCATCTCCGGTTCTTACAGATTCACTAGTTCCATTCCTTGGGTCATTTTGTTCCTCATAATTGTCCAGGAAATAGTCAAATATTGCATCCTTTAAATCCAAATATATTTGCCAATTGTCAGTCCCAAGGAAAAATTCGTGGAGGTAATGCAGGTAATGTAATTTATGATATGAAATTAGATGAAACGCCGAGATTTCAAAAGCAGATGATTTTAACTTCTACGTCATGTTTCACTAGGACTTTGGCCATATGCCGACCACCAGTTCGTAGATACATCAGCAGGGGGGTTATTCCTAAATCATCACGGCAGTTAACATCCACTGCACTACCTTGTAACACAGTGTTGACTGTATGGACCAGCCGGAGCTTTACAAATTTTGTCAATGTAGAACAGTTTATGGTTGTCAATAATGATGTTAGTGTTTTCGATATAACACTCTTAAAAGATATTGGTATTAAAGATGAATACTGATTCTTTAAAGATAAATCTCGGGTTATTGGCGTTTGGTAACACGCGGCATCGTAAGCAAAAAGAAATGGAGTTAAAGATAACACCAACGGAAGACCTCTAATTCTACTGCTTCCTATCAGAAGAGACGAAGCGTTGGTTTTTTCTTCTAATATGCTGAAAACTGTTTGGTTTTTCTTATCTTCCATCTCCAAAAAGGGAGATAATCCCTCTCTTTCGGCTGCCGTGAAACTTCTGATAACCTCTACTAAGGTGTTTAACCAGGGATATATTCGGTCCAATTTGTCCATTGTCTCATGATGAGAATTTCGCCTTGGATTTTCTATCCAGTCGTTCGGATTTCTAACGTACAAATCTGTCAAGTAGTCAGTGATGGTTATATTAACATCTTTTACAATGTAGTGTAACGCTGTCATCCCCTCATTGTCAACTGTTAAGTGATCACAACCCATATCAAACAAAGGGTAGAAAACGCTCTTTCCAAAGCAAGCTGCTGCACTGTGAAGTGGTGTAGAGCCATTCAGGCTTCTTGAATTAATATCTGCTCCGTTCTTAACAAGAAGGACGACAAGTGCTGACATGTCTTGGCAGGAGGCGACGTGAAGAGGAGTCGATCCAATTGACGTCTGTAGTGTTCTCTATCAGCAGTTGCGCAATACTTTGACGTCTATACAAGCGATTTACGCATTGCCAGAAATTAGGGACAAGATGGCGGTTGCGCGTGCGCACCAAGGCCACAATGGCTGCGAATTCGTATAAGAAAATGTATGGAGAAAAGGAAACTTTTTCAAATATATCGATTATGAGCTCACGGGTGTTCGGTGCACGACTCGAAACATGTTAAGCGCTCTGTAACCTTCGCATCTGGGTTAAAAATAGCTAATTAGAAGTAGGTTTACTTACTTCCCGAAGTGGCGACTTTTATCTCTCGTTGTACGCTCCATTTCTCCATACATTGTCTTAAAATCTTGCCGAAGTCATGCGACATACTCGTCGCTTAGAGGATAAACCCTTCACTGAAGTAAATTTGCACGACTCGATATCACTTCTGCGATGGAAGATGTTTCCAAAACAGTCGTTAAAAGGACGATTTTTGCACTGGAAAATACTTCCAAAGGCGCATTATTTCCCTCAGTTTTCCATCTGTAGTCCAGTAATGGACGCCATAGTTGCGAATGACTTATTTCGGTCGGACAAAGCTTCACAACTCCAAACCTCACCGAATCGCCATTTTGGTTGTTGCTACAACTCCAGAGATGCTTCACGGGATATAAACTAGGTTCCAGGCATTCAAAAATCCTCGATTAGCCTACCAGGCTTGGTTTTAAAACAAAATTGTCACGAAAATGTCACGAAAATGTCACGAAAGGTACAGCCGCGTACTGTTTTGTTGCTATCAGCCGCTCGGCCGAGTATAAACCTAACATTTTCTTGCAAGGTGTTTCATTCCAGCTTTTTTCTTCGTAAAACAGATCCACAGAGCTCAAATTATTTAAAAAATCGCAGGGGATACGCTTTCCCTGACTACGATCGTTTTTGTCCGCCATTTTGGAAATGAGATTCCGCTGACAATTAATCACGGGTGCGAAATGTCCACTATTTCTGGCAATGATTTTCTGTAACAATCGCGTTAATTCTTTCTTTAAGATTAATCTTAATCTTAAAGAAAGAATTAAAGCGATAGTTACAGAAAATCGTAAATCGCTTGCGAGTGGAAAGATGGGTTCTAAGGCCTGGTGGAAAAAGGTCGATGCGCTGTAAAAGAGAAAAGAAAGATCCAACCCGAGCTTTGACGAGGACTCTGTGAGAGGATTTAATCATTATTTTGCAAATTTATGTCACGATCAAGATTATATCAGACCCGCCGTACCCATGGACATCACGGAAAACATTCCTGCACCACAGCTCACAATGAGCCAGGCTTACTACGCTCTGCTCAAAACAAAGCAAACATCTACCGGCCCAGAATATACCATTCTGGGTCTGGAAGGAGAGAAAGCTGCCATATTATTGGTACCTGCAGTACAAGCAATCTGGAACCTATCCTTGTCAACTCAAAGGTGGCCCAGTGCGTGGAAGCAAGCTAATGTCTATCCGCTACCCAAAGTAAACATTCCAGTCCAGCCTCAGGACTTTAGGGGAATCTGCGTTACACCGGTAATTGCTAGGACTTTTGAGCGAGTAATGTACATGTGTATAACAGTTTTTGGTAAAGAAGGTGTGGAG